GTTCATTCATGAAAATGTCTACCTTCCCTCGCAGCAGGTCTGCAACTACATACAATAAGGGTTCGGTTAACTATTCGCAGCCTGGTTATGATAAGCGTGCAGGACATACGCAGATAAAGCCGCTTTAAGAAAAAAACAGAACGATGATAAAGAAATGAAATGTAACTGCAGTTTGAAAAGTGTTTCTTTAGGCTGTTTGGATTTGGTGTAATCCAGCTTTAACCAAAGCGTGAAAATCGTTTAGGCTAATAAATACACAACTCAACTGCTCTATGTATGTTCTGGTAAGCGAAGCGTTAATTATAAATGGTGTTTATGAACGCACTACAGCCGTGTCATTAAACTCTAATACGTGCTGGAAACTTGGCCGTAATTCAAGACTTTGTTAAGCGTGTGGCTTGTTTCCATCCTTTCAATATTTTCCCCGTCATTAATTTCTGTAGCTTGAACTTCTACATCTCATAGTATTAATCTGCAAATTCTCTATAATTTTGTCATTACCCGATTTGATCCTGGAATGCATCTCATGGAGTCCACCTCAGAAAAGGGATTTTCAGTAACTTCAATCCCTATATTAATATTTCTTATTGTCCAAACTTGTGAGGATACAATTTCAAAACCCTGAGCTAAATTTAAAATACATCCAACTTCAATTAAGAAGATTCGTTATTGTTATTGTTATTATTATTATTATTATTAGCATCCAGAGATAATGTGCATTCGGTAATGAAGGAGTTCCATAAATTTACTGATGTCATAAAAAGTAATACTGTGCCACACAAACCCACGCACATCCCAAACATGGGAAATGGTTATATGGCGAATAACTGAACTGGCTACATCACCATTACATCCATTAGCCAAACATACCAGAGTGCTCTCATGTAGATAACCACTGGCCTTTGCGAGGGAATGCGTCAGTAAGAAAATCGCTGTTTTACGTGTTCACTTATTCCGACAGCAAACTGACATTCCCTGGATTCACACTGACGTAGTGATAACCTCAAAGCTCAATTCCACAGTTTTAAAGCATAAAAAATCATCCTTTTGTACACGCAACGAAAGTTTCAAGAGAATGAATGTAATACGATACATTACATTTATTAAAATGTCTTTATAATTTCAAGACCATAGACACTGTAACAGTACGCCTACCACATTTACTACAGTGTTGTGGTTTATTACGCCTTGTAGCACTTCTGCAGTGTGTCAACGTTTCGGAGGAACACAGTTACTCCATCTTCAGGGTTCAAGTAAGGAGTGATAGGAATCAGATGTTTTCACTGCGTTAGAAGAGTTGTCAGGCCAAGAGGGTTGTCCAGAGCGATGGGATCAGAAAAGGAGATCGCCCAAACCATCCATTCCAGAATTGGGCCCTGAAAATGTAGACAGTATGTTCCTCTGAAACGCTATAAGGCGCAATTTAGAAGACCACTCTCCACATTTACTTCGCGGTAAAAAATCTCTTGTCTTACAGTATTTTTCCGCTTTATCTAAATAGGAAACGGAAGACGATGACCACTCTAGGCCTCAGAAACGGTTTGTAAGTAATGAAGAATCTCTGGTAGAAGAACTGAGTGGCCTCAAGAAACTGGAAGTATAAATGCATAACACGACGACGACCACACGGGGACACTGCTACAAGTTGAGGACGATGGCACTGATGGAGTATGGTACAGAGACCTGTTAGTGCAAGGTTAGTGCAAGGTCTAACCTAGTTCAGTGTCAATGTTACAACCTGTCTCGTAACCCTTGACAGACAGGGAGAGGACCAATCATTATTAAGGCCTCGGATGAACCGGAGTTGCTGAGAAATGCTGGATGAATTCCTAAGGACTTCGTCCTTGAAAAAGTCAAAGATAATGGATGTTATATACAAAGATAATCAGCTATATCCTATCTTATAACATTCATAATGTTTTAGGGTAATTAGTGATTAACAGAGAAAGAAAATGTAATTCCCATAATCTGTATATATTCCCAAACGATGTACTGAAATACACATTTATTGATTTCGTTCAGTATCAAAACTGTTCAGTTCTTATAGCATTAATAAGCCAATTTTATAATTAAAGACTGTAAAATTTTCATCGTGTTTCTTGAGTTTATGCAGTAATCTATCAACTTAACACAGTAACTGCCACGAACAACTATTGTCGTTCACGCGAGTTCTCACGATGTTACAGTCATTCATACACTTGTTAAGTTGTCCACTAACCACAATACCGTCACCAGATAACACAGAACGTTCAGCATCATTCAAGTATTTAAATATTCTTAAAATATATTTGGTACACTTGACGCAAAATATCTTCGTGGTTGAATTGCCTCATAGTGAGAAGGTAAAACGGATGGACCAAGACGTTTCCCCACCCTCCGTTGTCTGTAGCAGTCAATTAAGTTCGGAGATATCTTGCGACAAGCATAAAACAGTTATTTTCTCATTTCAAATCTACTGTGTCAGCCTGAGCAAACACAGTTCCTAGCCTCACACGTATATACTGGCATTTAAACGGCCGGCAGCTGACGTCAAATAACTACGCGGCCACGTATAAAAAACACTAGCTGTTAGCCAATAGCAAGCTGATCATCAAGACCCGAACCGCGATATTTCTATCCTCTGGCCTTTGCATGAATTTATTTTGAATCTTTCGAGGTTTTGTAAACCACGTGAGGTAACAAGACACTGAGATGCCACGTTTGCTTAACTCAACTATAATTTAAAAAAAAAATCGGTTATAAATCTTATGCTACAATTTTCTTAATCTTACGCGATAGGCCAAAGTGTGATTACTTACACGTGATAAATTAAGCCAATGAATTATGAACAGGGTATCACAAAATGATGCATCACGAAGGGAATATAATTGAAAGCACGTGACTGGTCTACTTGTAAAGCATTTTCTGCGTTGGTGTTAATCTGAATTTGTAAGTCAGTAAGTAACATCACAAAACAATCGAATAAGGCCACTGTGGTGTTTGAGCTGTGACGCTATGTGGGACTGCAGGCTGTCAAGAGCGGATTTTAAAAAGTACACGGCGTCACAACTCAGAAGACCACAATCGACATTTTCACCTTCGATAAAACTTCAAATATCTTAAAGTAATGAAGAATTTTAAATGTTATTTGCGCCATACTGAAGTTTCATTATGTAATGTAAACTGAGCAACATTCAATTTGTCGGTTCAAGGTTATATAAAAAGGAATTTACATTTTTAAATAAGCAGAAAATTATTTCTATTTTGTTAATACCGAAAATACAATGTGACAGCAAACAAAATATTGCAGGTTTATGCTTCATTCCTGATTGTAGACTACCATTTTCAGATCCAAACCTATAATAATTTACTATTCTTGAGGATTTCACATATGGAATATATCAATTATATATAAAACATTTGGATTAATATTAGTTACTATAAGCCTGGAGTATGCATTATAAACAAACATAGATTGCCACACATTGGTGACAGACAAAGTTAGAATGCATTGCAGTTCGTTAGATAATGGCAAAATTACTTTTAAAATCTTCAGTAAATTCCAAGCAGTCTACCTTCAAATTTTAATCGCATAACATAAATAATTACTAAGAATGGAGACTAAAGATCGATAGGTACATCTATAAATTATAATCAGCGGTTATCGTATTTTATTCTCGGAACTTAATGAGTAAACATCATTCTTCATCAAAATGCTCGTATCACTGGATGGTGTCAGAGACCATACTTCAACCCTTTCACTCTATGAAGATGGTCTTTCCAACTATACATAGTTTCTTTAACCCCTTCTAAGCTATAACCAAGATATCACACTTGGCTACTTAGAGGTACGTTGCCTGAAAATTAATTTCCCAGTAATAGTTCGTAAGTAAATAGTGAAGTAGAATGGAGAAACCAGAAAGGGATCTCTCTTCATTCGCTATTATTTATGATTCACATTGTTTTACGTAACAGAAACTGAACTGGAGCAAATTTTGTGGCTTCCTACAGCCACTCATTAAAATGCCCTCGCTGAGCGTCTAGCGCGTCCTCTGCTCTACGTGACCCGGAGTGCACGTCTCCCCCATTCACAAAGCACCGAGTTCCCCCCCTCTCCCACCTCACTCTTACTCGCCCACACAATGACGTCAGCGGGGTTGGAAACTCAATTTATCTGTGTTCAACGCCCCGACGTGCAATGACGCACAAGACAGCTCTCAGCAATGGTCCAAGTATAAAAATTTCAGTTTCCACTACAACTTTCAACACTGCCGATTTGGCCACATCCATTTTGAAAACGGTTTACAGATTGCTTTCTGACTGAGGCAATAAATTATGTCAAAACAGAAATGTACATTCACAGTCAAAAAGGAGACGTTGAAAAAGTGTTACAACACTTCTTCTCTTTTTTTCTTTTTTTTGCTGATAATAGACGCATATTACGGCTGTAAACCTGGGACACGTGGAACGTTAATTACATGTTGCTCACAACAGATTTAAAACACATCCCAATCACTTTCGAATTCTCGGCAAGCTTTCGGCGTTTAAGGCCAACTGAAACAATTTTAACCAACACGTTATTTATATGACTGACGTTTATAATCCTACTCAAGCAGGCCTGATAGCCTTCCGTCTCGTATTCGATAGAACACAGGCCGGATGATAATTATCCTCTTCTAATAAACAATTTGTAAATTAAAAATAATGGAGATCATTGAAAATTTATGTGATTTGAAACACAATTTTAATATCGATATTGAATATGCAAAATGATTAAGCATAAGAACCAATATTATACATACTGTTTTTAACTAATTCCACACTTAAAACAAAATCCAGGCTTTTGAGACTGACTTTGTACAGAATATAAAATTCGTTATATTAGTAAAGATGTAGTATATTGAAATTACAATCATTGTCTGTTAGAACATAAAATAGACCTATCTTTAGAAGAAGATTTAACGTGTCAGTATACAATATATAAGATATGTAATATTCGTGTTTTAACATGTAAGGCAATTCAACTGAGTAATGTAAAATTGTTCATATTTGTATAAGCTACGTCACATACTAATTTCTCTACAAAGTACGATTTTAAACAAAACTGTTTGCTACAGATGGGTTTATATACTTCAGTTTAAACTGCCTACATATGATGAGCCAAATACAATATTAGGAAAATATTTTGAGACAAAGAAGCTTACAACATGAAATGATTTATTTGAATAACCCATCCCCAATTAAAGTAACTGAAGTGGTATTTGCATCGCACATGGTTCAAGTACTTAATAAATTACAAATAATTACAAATTGAGACTTAGTGAGTAAGTTGGATCACCTTGTCCGAGCTATAAACGTTTCGTGAGATGCGCATCTGTTCGCTGATGAACAGAAATAAACTCCTTCTAACAAACTATGGAGTCGGAAAATTGTGCCGCCCGATTCTAAACGCATTCATACTGGTCAACGTTAATGTAATGACCCCACAACACGCCAATGTCTTGCATTACTGATTAAATATTACCGCAGCGCAAATTATAACCGTGTACTAACATTCCACAGCAGAGATTCCTACACATTTTTCTGTTTTATAAAAATATTTTGTTTACTTTTGCCAATGGTGGTCTTCTGGGTTGCGTAGTCTTGTAAGTGGTTACAACGTCTCAGTGAAGTGATGACAGATTCACTTCCTACTTCACCGTGGCCACGTGGCATCACTACTCAAAACACCACAATCGACATCTTCCCTGCCATGAGAATCGCATTATGATGCTTCTATTTTCATGTTGTGTGATCAATTGATTTGAAACATGTCTCACATCCTACGGAGCAGATTATATGATCAAATTATACTAAATGTAAACCCCAATACATAACAAAAATGTCGCCGAAAAATCCGAGCAACGGAAAACTTCACTCAATGATATTACGTAAAATTCAAACTGAAGTCCGCAATCCCAGGAACTGATAACAAATGTCACAAGTAAATGACGCAGATTTACTTATAATGTGGCTTTTGTTTCTGAGTAATGACACGCTATGCCTTAGATGCAGGCTAAATTGCCGACTTTCAGATTCAATCCTCAAGATTTCCCCTTGAAGACCTAGGACACATCGGCAGAACAGCGTGCATCTGCATCGTCCCATCACCCTGAAATAAGATTCACACTAATACTAAACCCCAGTAAAATCGTATAATATTCTATTCCTTTAATTATTTCCATTGCATTGTTTCGTCCAAAAGGGATGTACTTTTCTTATCTTTCAAATTTTCACGAGTCTCTTCCGACGGCAGCTAGGAATATTCAGTATTTCCGTCAAGCATTTGTATATAAGACCCGTTAGAAACATGTATATAGCAGTGTCTTGGCACATGCTAGCGGTATATTAAAAAGCTATGATTGTTAGTTACGTGTAACGTCATTATTGGTTGTTGTTGAACTACAATAATAAACATATTAAATAGTAAAATATTTGTAGGACTGGTTCTGGCCTGCAGTACACACGAATTTGAATGTTGGTCGTAAAAATCAAATGCAGCGAAGCATTCAGGTTTCTGAAACCACGTGGATGAATGAAAATCTAAATGTCTTAATGTATAATCTAGTGGAAACATATAACAATTTTTTCCACTGACGTTCCATAATTTTCTATTAAAATATATCTCAAATTTCAATTTATTCGATAATTAGGAAAAATTATTTTAAAAATCTTATTAAAGTGAAGCGGAAATTATACAGCCCTAACATTACATTGTAAAATAATGCATTAAGAGATTATCAAGTGTTTATGAATGTACGAAAGCATACTCGTTTGGTGCATCCGTGGTGCTAAGAGTGTCATTACATTTTCAAACGAAGTGGCCACCACTGTGAAAAGATATTCTGTCTCAACGTCATAATTTTTTCATATAAAGTCATTTCAGGTTGCATTAACTTACTGGCCTACTGTGACTGTGGCAGCTTCAAAATTACTTTAAAAATAAACATCTTTGTGCCACATAAATGTAAGATACATTATTTTGTAGGTGAGGGGGTGCTTCTATGTGATTAAAATTTCACTCTGTTCTTTTGTATTTAACTCAATCTTCGCAGCGGAAGGAAACATCGAAGGTAACGATTCACCATCTACAAAGCCAATACGACAAAAGATCTCCAAGTGAGATTGTATTTTCTTCAAACTTTCTATACACAATCTTTTCAGGTAAAAGTAATCCAAATTCAGCTTCGTGTATACTCAGTACGGACAATATTATTCATTACACAAAATATTTAAACACACTACCATAACCTTAACTCTAGCAGACAAAGTACCTGTGATATGGCAGAGAAATATGGACTGTGTGAGTAGTGTACTTCTAAGTGAATAACCATGTCTACACAAAATACACTAAAGGCTAGTTTCGCAAATTATTTTCAAACTCATTCTATTCGACGACTTCTTGTCTGCAATAAATAATATTGCATTATTTTAGTTATACTTTGTACGTTAAGGATATTTATCCTTTTCACAATGCCCTATTGCCGTGTTTTCGTGTCCTACTACCAGAGCCACCAAATAACCTCACTGTACGACAGTTCAAAATGTCGGCCTAAATCACACTCTCAAATTTTAATGACCATGAGTTGAATACTTCCTTACATTAATAGTACTAAATATGAAGCAACGCCTAATCTTCATGACTAAATCTTGATTAAAAAGCACATGGCTGCCGTCTGGGTTGTAACACCTTGTGATCTGGTATACGTTTCCCAACGTCTCACAAGTCCTTCTACCAGACTACATGGCACTACAACCCAAAAGAAAGCCACCTTGCTTACCGCAGTGAGAACCTCAAATTCTGCTTCATATGTTAAATCTCCGTTATTCAGTTTTGTTTTGTGCAAATACTTTCCCTCAAATATCCGCAGTTTCCTATCTAAAATATTCCCATAACGTACACCACAGCACAATTACGACACTTTTGTGTACCTACAGTCACGCTTGGTAGCTATACACGTTGACGAAAAACTATAGAACAATACAAACGTTTCCTTTGAAAGAAACTTGAAATATAAATTTGCAAACCAATCGATTGTTTCTTCCTCATACGGAACACACTACCTTATAAAACTGTATTTTGTCTGAGACATGGTAACAGCTTCTATGTTTCTATTTTCTTTTCGCGTTACATATACAGAGCATAAGTGTTGATAATTACGTATGTACAGCTCAAATAGGCCAATTCCAAAATAAAGTTATACTTATAAGCATAGATTACTGTAATATTAGACCATATGTATATGGTGCATGAGTGTGTAAGTCATATGCTGAGGTTTTAAAATTAGAATGGCTAAACACTTTTCACTTCAGTTATATGAATACAAGAAGCAATAATTCGGCCACCAAAAAGTGGCAATATTCTTGAGGCCAACAAATAATTTAGTTATGTGAACGTAATTAAACACAAAAGTGAGTGACTTTGACAAAAAAAAAACTCCCGTTAATAATTTTCATAAAGAACTCAACATACAATATAAAATTTAAAACAATTCCCATGATACTTTCACTGACTAATAAAACGAAACGTCCACATCGAGTATCGATCTGACAACTTTCAGTTAAAAAATCACAGGCCTATTTACTTAGAATACTATTACACTATTCTTTTCAAATTCTTTGAAAGTAAACTTCAATATTATGAATTGAATAAGAAAGAGTCATAAATTTAAGTCGTGTTGCACACACAATTAATACAAAATTCTGTAAGTGGAATTCTTGTTTGTCACTTTGTGTGCCGCATATACTACTCATTTTTCACACAAAAAAAAAATTTTCCTCAAACGTATATACCAAAATGTATTGAAATGAATTCTATCCTGAAATTTCAATAACGAATATAAAATGGCGAACGCTTTTAAAACATTACACTGATGTTTCTACGAGCTCAAAGAATAACATGATTAAGCTTCTAGTATTCATTTTGTAAACATGTTGTATTATGCCTATTTAAAGGGCCTAAATGATGTTTGATATATTAATACTGTCATCAAAAGGTTCAACCTAGTAGTTACAACTAACAAATACTAATTTCGAAATGAAGAGGATGCGTTAACCAATATTTTTGTTGAATTTATAAAAACTCTAAGATTTGCTTTTGTAAGAGCAAATTATGTGATGGACTGTGTGTGTACTGATGTAATTTAAGATATATTCAATCTGATGGCATTCCTCGGAAAGATAAAAAACTGTGTTATATATTTCTGGGCAACAGTTTCCTTTGGTATTAAATTATATTCATCACTATATTTTCTCGCTGATTTTTAATAATATAGAGTTAATAAATTCCATTTTCATTTTTGATAGAACGGAACACTGAATGTAAAAGAAATTACATCCTTTCTATTGAGAAGTTTAAAATCTCAGTTAAACCTTGAGTAACTCTTAAAGGATTTAAATTATTTAACACGTAAAACAAATTCGCTAAGAAATATACAAATTACTGTAATCCTAATAAATTTCTTCATAGCAGAAAGGCAATTACGCTATAACAGAGCTTAATACATGCCCACAAGTGTTAATTTAAAATCTTTGAAAACAGCCTGTTACTTGGCGATGATTTCTGGGTTTCGGCTCGCAGGTAGACTCGTACGCTTGTGAGTCTACGCGGCGCCCGAACCCAGAACAACATCGTCATCTCAGCCCTGAAAATCACAGATCTTAAAATCCGTAACATTCAAATTAAGAATATATTACGTAGCTTCTTATCTTGTTCCATGAATGCATGAACCGAAAAGCCGAACGCTCAAATTTCAAAGAATGCGAATATTACCCTAACTAAAAGGGCTCAACTCTGGTTATAAAGTTGTAATGTTATTCTAGCAGTCTGTTTTAGTGTGCACTGTATGTGTATTGGAACGTTTTACCTGAATAAAAATAATTGAACTGAAAGATTGTTAAACAAGAGAAGAAACGTCCTGTAATATTTGAAGTTATGAGAAAAATAACGCAGCACTGATTTAACTTTGCAAGGATGGTGACTTATCTCGTATAATAATTCTAAAAGTGTAACTTATATTCTGAATATGAATCTATGTACTCAAAAAACATATGGGGATTTATAATGTACACAAGGACAACACTGTTGTCAGGGATGCCTAGTAATGAATACCGAATTACCAGAAAAAGTGTAAAATGTTACATAAGATAATGTTTTAATTATTATTATTGTTATTATTATTATTATTATTAACAGGTTCTTCGCAAAGTGATCGAAATGAAGTGAGCAGAAATGCTGAAAAATGTATGAAAAATATTTTGGTTCAAAATGTGTTAATGCTATATTAGACTGTTCAACCGCCTATTACTTGCCTGTACTCTGACCGAGTACTCATTATGCGAAACTTTCAAGTTCTGATTCTTGTCTCTACATAACATTTCTCAACATGTACATATCCCCGCTTAAATATATTTTATAATGATATTGTACATATTATATTTTCATACACAAAATATCTTAAAAATTAAAAAAAATATATATCAATGTCTTTTCTTATTCCTTGATGTTATTTCATGTTTACATTTTCATTAAAATTGAAATGGAACAATGTCACATGTATCGTAATAAATTGTAACTGTGTTAAAAACTATGCGTGTTTTGTATCAAACCCTTATCAATGCAGTGACCTCTCAAATGTGACGGATAATATTTATGGTGCACGCTGTTGGTTTACAGACAAAAAAATAATATGAAGAAATTTTGATAAAAATTCGTTGCAAACGGATGATATAGCTGATGAAGATGATGTTACTGAAATTTATAATTCGTTGCAAACGGATGATATAGCTGATGGTGATGATGTTACTGAAATTTATAAATTGTAATTTACTCAACGACGTTGTCGAATGAACAATGTAGTAATATTTACGATAATGTTGATTGGCTGAAAATGTCATAGATTATCCTGTTTCTGCTAAACGGGTTGGTCGTGATAATGATATTGATGATACTGATGTTGATAATGTTATATCGTTCATGATGATAATGAACAGGACAGACGATTACTCTACACACTTTCTAGCATTTACGTACTGACCCCAGAATTACTGCAGAACATCGCACAGCGAGTGCTGTACAAACAGACCCAATATTCCGACACGATACCTGTCAGTTTCGATTCAACCTACGCACGGTTCTACATCGACGTGACAGGGCACGCAACCGGGATCTCTTCAGTTGATGCTCACAACAAAAAGTTCACAAGGTATCCTCGCAGTCTGCATTGCGACACACTGCCAACGCACCCTGGGCACTGCAACCTCCTCCCACCCCGCACCTACTGTCACAACACGCTCCAAGCTAAACGTCGAATAACACGTGGCACCTGTTTTGTAGCACATCGTTGACAAACGTACTTAATATATTTTTCATAATTTTCACTTCATAAGAAACCTCAACTCAATGAAGTAGAGATATTCAGAAACTGACAGCTATTCAGACAGCCAAGACCTTCTGCATGAAATCGCACATTTATCAATTCCCCATACGTGTTAATTCAATTTCATCCTTCTCGATTTCATCATCGTAACATTTGACAGTGTTTTGTGAAGATGCTATCTACTTTCAGCCTTTGTACCCATCTGCAAGTGTACACGGCGTCTTAACCCAGAACAACATCGTCATCGTGAAGGAAGTGACAACCTCATATCTCACATCGTAATAAAAGGCTAATAATGCAAATAATTATCAAGCTACTTATTCTGAATGATCTATAAAAACTGTACTTGAAAGCCTGTGTATATTTTGTTGATATATTTCATTTGGAATCTAATTATCCTATAATAAGACTAATATAAAAGGTGATCAGTAATCCGCCTACCCAAATCATACATTATACACGTAAATAAATAGGCCAACGTGCATTATTCTTTCTTTGAGACAAAGGTGTCGGTACTTAGATGCGACAAAATTACGTAACTCTGAAGAACCCTCTTTAATATAAATTTGCGTGTTTCCACTTCCGACTTTATTAAGACTATTTTGCTTCTGTTACTGTTTGCTAGAAACACAAATGCGTAGGCCTATACGTCCTTCGTTAAACCTTGTGACCTACAAAGCTATTTCATTTACGGTAAGGCAATATTGGCTTGTTCACACACATACAAATTTTATAAAGTACGGACACACGAAACATTCAGCTTCGGTCTTTCACATTCTTATCCCTAGTTCTGTTCAGTGTCTGTTCATTTGAAGGTGTTTCGAAGCAATGTGGCCATCGTCAGATTCAATTCCGTGCTTTTGTCATGGCACTGCAGATCTCCACGGACTATACGGAGTAAATCCCCAGAAGACAGTCATCTCCTTGCTTAATGTAGTTCGCAACTGTATTTATTATAGATAACAATACAATATTATAAAAACGTAAACGAACTACTATGAAATCGAGTACCGTGCTGTGAACAGTTTCTTACTTATAAATAAATTAGCAGAAACAACGTAATCTGATGACTGGGTTCAATAAGATGTGAGAATTTGATTTTAGAACAACCTATTCAATAAATATAATACATCGAAAAGATCTAAGGAACAGACTGTATACGAAGCTGGAGAAGTCAAAGCATTTGATTCAAAGCGTTTTAAAAACAAGCCTGAATTTTATTTCGAAGGGAACTTCAGCTTATACATTCTCATACAATTCAAAACCGTAGAGAATAACACGCAGAACTTAAATAAATCTTCAAAATAAGCTCAACTGCTCACTGAATCTGAAGAGACTGTTTACCCGTTCTTGATCTTGAGACGCGCGAGGCAGAAGAGCGCTGTGTTAGCCGGATACTTCGCAAACAAAAATCTCATAAAACGTACAAGGTTCATCACAATATGAGAGCAGACATTCATGGAGACAGTGGATGTGATAATATCATGTGTTTCCCACGTCCCGTGTTTGCATCGTCAAGTGCTTTCAGAGTTCGGTGTTTCCAGCGTCTAAAGCTGTTTAAGGAAATGATCGAAGTTTTTTTCTGAGAATCATAAGAAACTCATTAAAACACAAAGTGACCAAAATGCAGTGTTCTTTATTGTCAATGCGAGTGATACATAGGGTTACCATTGACTTCCATGGCATTCGTACTAGTATTTATTTTCATTCATTTCATCAACACAATTGTTTCTACCGGTAAGAAACACGAACAGGTCGTACGTGAAATAACCTAACCTAACCTAATCTGGCGTTACCTTTCGCACAAAGCATTCCAAGCAGAATTCCTTTTCATCTGCGAGAAACATTCAAGCAAAAACAAATCTCATTTCACTCTAGACAAAGCATTTCAAGTGAACTCATCTTTCTCTTTAAACAATGCGTTCCAAATAAAACATGTTTTATTTTCATCCCATTCTCTTCGAGTAATCATACACTACCAGATAATTATGTCTATTCAAAACATGGTTTCCAGCCGTAGCACAGTAACACGGAGGACACTCGTTTCAGTTGTATGAATAAAGTTCTAAAAGCATGAGACACGTTCCTTTCCACAAAGCACAATTCGTTTTCAGGAACACAGCCCAATTCCTCAAAAGAAGAAACCAAGAATATAAAAATAAGCATACAAACAAAACTGTTTACACTATAAAGTACACTAATGCCAAATGCGTTTCGACCTCAAGAGGTCATCATCAGTGGCAAAAAGGGGGGATTAATTCAATTAAACAGTTTTGTTTGTATGCTTATTTTTATATTCCAATACACTACACGGTATGCAAGGTTTTGAAACCAAGAATATGTTTTATTATGCTTTTAAATAACCCCCAAAATCACAGGGTAGATATTATTAGGCTGAAGTACCATCAAACTGGATTTGCAAATATTTTCCCCTCGTGACGCCCACTGAGTTTCGCTTTTTCGCGAGCGACTATGAGCTACTGATTAGAGCTGACGAGACATCACATTACTGGGCAGTGGATAGTGATTGATGTTGGGACAGAAGCGACCCTTTGCCAGACGTAATGCACATTTGTCACGCACGTTGGCTGAACTGTTTTACAGCTACGCCTACAGCGAGTTTATCGCATGGATTAATATTTTTAGAGATTTATCACTACTTTATAAACACAGTAACCACGACACTCCACTACTCCAAAATGGGACTGACACGGCCGGCTCAATGGGCAAAGCACAAAGTTCTTTCAAATTAAGTTCCCGTCCCCGTGCGGCCTCCTTCGTATTTGGTAGACACCGGGTTCAAACCTCGACCCGAAAACCGGATACAACCAACGAGATTTTCTGTGAGTTTCATTAGACCCTCCAGATAAATGCTGGCCACGACCACTTTCTTCCACACCATTTCCAATG